CAGCTTAGGACTGGTTTGCCATGCTCATCAGTGAGCTGTCGAAGAGTCTTCAGCAACCTTATGAGTAGTGTGTTACTTCTATACAATGTATCGCGAAATATCGAATATCGTACCATCTGAAAGATGGGATGGGATGGTGAAGCACATTCAGTTGCCCGAAGAGTCTTCAGCAACCTTATGAGTAATGTGTTACTTCTATACAATGTATCGCGACATATCGAATATCGTACATACTGAAAGATGGGATGGTCTGGTGAAGCACATTCAGTTGCTCAAAAAAAATCACAAACGAGAGATTCAGCTAGGTTCCAGATGAGCCTCCCGTCAAAACCAAACGAGTGTGGTTGTCGAAATCTGTCCAATTTGGGTTCAAGTGGAACAAGGTTCAAGGTTAACAAAAAATTAAGGACTGCCCCTTTTTAATTGAGCCCCAAGAAGGTCTCGAAGAGTTTTCAGCAACTTTACTGTGTTCGTTTAGCTTATGGGGAATTGGCTGATTGTGACCTGACAATCAGCAATTGTATAAACATAATGTGTGGGTTCCAATGAAGGCACATGGATAAAGGGTGATAAGATGTCTGGCACAAACCCTTGACTTTACCGACGGAATCTGAGGCTCCGCAATAGTCAAATGGTTCAGACAACCACGTGGCGATGTTTAAGATTGGCGAATCCTACAAATCCAAACCTGAGCGTCGCGCCGTTCCCCTTCAGTATCGCTCAAACGGGCCGCAAGTGCGAGGAATATGTCTCCCTTTTGATCTGAGTTTGTCTTGATGTTACGCGCTGACAATGTTTCTGTCTTCTCCAGGAATCTTAGAGAATCTGTTAACTGCATTTCTACGGTGGCACTTTCTTACAACCGCGTCTAAAGGGTGCAAGATACATTCCAGTCAGATCTCGTATAGATTGGACAATTTTTTGTACCCTGTGTTCACTTCAATGTCGCCATTCTCCAATTTAAAACAGGAATGACTGTAAATGTTAAATGCTGCGATCATTGAAGCGTTTCCTATTCACTTCGAATCATACTATTGACCCGGTGCATTCATATGACCGTATGTAGAAAAAAATAAACGTTTTCGCAAATGTTCACTTGCTCCAGCTTTGCATACGCACGGAAGAACGTGTATCGACTTTTGATATATTACGTTTCTTGGTTCTATCTTGTGTGTACACGTGCGAGCGGTTTGTTTATCCCGTTTGTCTGTCGACGTATGATGTTCAGTTCACTGTAAGCCACAGTGCAGTCAACTTATCTCCAACTGGTTTGCCTCAGGCTGACTGAAGACCAAATAGCTGTAACCCGTTTGCGCTTTTGACACTCAGCCAGCCTGCAATCGCCTTAGTTGTACTTGAGGCGCAACATCAGACCGCTTCTTGAGGAGCTTACCCTGAGATCTCCGCTGATTCACTTAAATGTCTGTGCACCGCTGTTCTCGTTAGACAGGCATTCTTTGGCAATTTTATGCGTAGAAACTGAGACCAACTGTTTTTTTTTGTTTTCAGAAAATTATATGGCTGGGAGTATGTTCGTTAATATGTGGACAGAATTGCAACCCCGAGTCTAATCTGTCACGTCAAACCATCTTATTCGTAGCCACAATCTATCAATAATCTGCTCTCAGGAGTAGTTGAGGCTTCGCACGGACCTGAGCAGTCATCATTCCAGGGAGCCAGTCACACTGAATCACGTGATAGGAAATGTGTAATTGAAAGATGGATCCTGCCCAACTGACAGTTAGTCGTACTGCTGATTAGTAACTTGCTGCTGGACGGAAGGTCTTCGATGCCACCCGGAAATTCGTTGGGTTCACATTGTAATTGTTTGGAGAGGGTGAAGGAGTTGTAAACTCATTTCGTTTCCCACCTAACACTTAACCTGCAGGGGACGAGATGGTTTAAGTGGTTAGAGCGCGAATTCACTTCCCGGAAGGTCCCTGGTTCGAACCCGACCTCTGCCTCTCGACTTTCCCTGTCTAGGCTTGCGCAACCTGGTAGCATGCAAGCCGTCATGCTTCCTTCGGGTAGCATGGTAGCTAGGCACCGGAAAGGTGTTACAGCACAATGGAAACCCGCCCTTTCACACACAACGGTTTTCTTGGTCCACGTGACCGAATCCAAATGGGCACACTTTGATAGGCACTATTCGTTATCTCTAGATACTTATTGCCAGCCTACCAATATCATTCCGAGATACCTATACCTCCAGACTCCGCTCCAGGCCATCTGAATAGAAACTGACAACAAGAGCGCCATCGACATAGATTCCTAGTCACACAACGCAGACTCCATTCTGCAAGGCGAATCACACCGATGGTAACTAGACCCCGCTGCCAGATCGAAGGTTGGCCGCATGCCTGTTCCACCAGGACACGGAACACAGCAGTTTTCGGCAAACGAAGGTTCGGCATTCGCAATACGTGGCTTTGGGTGCTTGACGCATTCTTCTGTTGAAGTCCCCATTGCAAAACCGAGAACTCGTTAACTATCGTTATCTATCGCGGATTCACTGACGCCAGACTCCACGAGACAACTGTTGTCGAAACCAGGCAGACGTCTCCGTTCTGCTTCTCGAACAGGCCAAGTCTTACAGCCATTAACAAGACAGCCTGAACTGTAGTCTGATACACAAATCCCTTGAGATTCAGGAACACGCCGCTTTGGCGACAAAGAAGGCTGATATTATGCACCACAAATTATTGATAATTCCGCAGCCTTCCATAACAATCAGAGGATTTAGAGCGGTTTGTGACACCGTGGAAGGTGATTTTTTCTCAGTTATACCGGATATTGGAAAAAGTCGACGTCAGGTCACAAGTAAATTCGGACGGTCTTTATACTTTATGTCCTATTATCAGGTTCCCGTTCAAAAATTTCTTTTTTTTTAAGTCTATAGTACATTGACGTTGGAACAAGAAACCTCGCGTGTCGGAATTTAGGGTGGAGATGGTTTCATTGATTGCTTATTGATTTTTTGCCGTTTGAATCCACCAAGTTTGGCCCCGATTTGTGCGTGCCTATACCTTCCAACAAACTAAACACAATGTAAAACAGCAAACTGAGATATTCTGAGATCTTTCCGGGTGTCCGGGTGAAAAAGAATTTCCCCCCCCCCCCCCCCAAGACGATCAATCCCTTGATCTTTCTTGAAAGGTGGTCATTCGGATTGTGTGAAAACACTATTCGCATGGCGATGAGTTGGATAAACCGACAAGCTGCTTGAAACCTTTAAGATCATTGCTAGTGTCGTATGATTGATGATCAACCCTTCTGCCTTAAAAGTGCGAGTTTCTTCCACGTTCACACCTACTAGTTGCGTGTGATCCTAAAATTGGCACGCACACACACGCATACAATCGTGTTTACCGCTCTTTGTTGTTTCTTCCCCAAAGTTTATCGGGTCACATTAGTCCAGAACACAAAATCATACGTTGTTGATTACCACGCGGCGCATTTACACTGCCGAAATTAAGGACCGGTACGGAGCATCCTGGGCCGGAGTGAATAGACACGAAGGATTAATTGAGGCGCCGTTCGTCCGTTTTCCTCAGCGTTGGCTACACAAAAGGATTTACGATCAGCTGTTTTTTCCACAGTTTCCCGAAACGCTTTTGTACCGTTGTTTTCTTTCGGGCTTTAGGAAGGTGCTTGAAAAAGAGCAAA